AAGAAAGGAATGTAGGAAGTGAAAAAGGGTGGGAGAGTAAAGGAGGGAGGAAAAGAGAAATGGAAGGAGAGACAGAGGAGCGGAGAGAGGGAAGGAGGGAAAGAAGGAAAAACACAGGCTGAAAGCTACCTTTACATTTTTAGAATTTTAATTTTAACCTGTCTCTTATTTTCAAAAAGCCATTGCATATAGGTCCTACCGTTTACCTTATCATCATGGGAAATAAAAGTAAATTAATTGAGGCCAGAATTATTTCCAAAATGGATTTTCAGGAGTGGGATGGAGGTCCTACATGAAAGGAAAATCCCGTAACATCACTTTGCATGTAGGCTTTATATGAATTTTCAGAATTTCCTAAAACACGGAATGCATTAAACTCAAGACACACAATAAAATAGGTTTCTGAATAACAAAGCCAGTCCATTTGATTCTTCATTCACTCAATATATATGCAATGAGAACCAACAATGTGCTTTCACATAAAACACCAAGAGAAGAATAAAGTGGGTAGATGAGAGGTCCAGAAATGCAGGTAAGTTCCTGCATGGAGCTCAGGCCTAACTTGTTTCCTGTAGCAGCATTATCTCACACTCAATTCTAATCATCCCCTATAGTCATGTATTATCTAAATATTAACTTTGCTAATAATTATATATCACCTATCTAACATAACCAACCCAACTATAACAATATGATTTCAACCCACTCCCAGAAAAATACTCATGCTTGGTGTCTTCTTAGAACTCAAACATGATGGCTGCCTACCTACAATTCTATTTTCACCAAATAAAAAAGATCACCATATAAAAATAATTGACTTCCTAAAGATCATTTCTTCTTCACAGGCCTTGTTGCTCTGTCTCATTTATGAAAAAATTCCTTAATTATGTTATACATCAGAGAAGATGAACTAGCGATATAACAAAATCAGCACAACTAGCTTAGAAATATACATCCCTAAGTTTTAAAAAGACAAAAGCTAAATTTTCTTTGATCCTAAATGTTTCCTGAAGTGTATTTTTAATGAATAAATATCCTGTTCTAGAATATGGCTGGATGTGGATCCAAATGCAGAGATTAAAATGAAAAAATTTTATTTCTGGATATTTACATTGATTTTCAGAAGAGACTTAATGCTTTGCAAAATAAGGCCTTTTATAACAGTCAATCCATTGGATAAATTTAGTAGATGCTTGAAACTCATTTCAATTACTGTCAAAGAGGTTTTTTCTCCATTACATGGCATACACAATATGCAATCATTTCATTCATTCTTTCATTCAAAAACACAATTAAGCTTTTTCTAAATGCCATGCATTGTGCCCAGCGCTTGGGATAAAACTAAACAAAACAGACAAGTAATCTGCCTGCATAGAGCTTAAAGTGTGTGAGGGATGCTGTCTATAATGGATTTGAAATGAAAAGATTGATAACGATTTCACAGAGGAGACTAGGGAAGACTAGTACTGATATAATGTGAGTCTCCCAGGGATGTCCACATTCAAATTCCCAGAACCTGTGAATATGTTGCCTTCCATGGCAAGAGGGATTTTGTAGATGTAATTAAGGTTAAGGGTCTTCAGATGAGATGATTATCCTGGATAATCTGGGTGGGTCCCACTATTCACATGAGTGCTAAAAATCAGAGAATCTTTCCAAGGCGCGGTCAGAGAAATAAATGTGAGGTTGGAAGCAGGGTCAGAGCAATATGACCTTGCTGGCTTAGAAGATGGAGGCAGAGGGCCAAGAGCCAAGGAATGAGGATGACCTCTAGAAACTGGAAAAGTCAAAAATAATGGACTCTTCCCTAGAGACTCCAGAAAATAATGTGTTCCTCCAACACTCTGATTTTTAATCCAGTGAGGCCCAGGCCAGACTTTTGATTACAGAGCTGAAAGATAGAAATTTGTGTGGTTTTCTATTGTACAAAGTGTGTGGCAATTTGTTACAGCAGCAATAGAAAACTAACCAAACATATATACATATGTATCCACTCATATAAATTTAACAGGACAGTATATATTAGGGGAAAGATACATAATCAATACTGTTAAATAGTTTTATGTTTTGTCCGTTATAGACCCATCTGGTCTCATTCCTTACTAATATGACAAGACGTTCAATTTACTGAATGTTGAGATTCAATTTTAAAAAATGATCAAGACTTGCTAATCTGTTTAAGGAAGTGAATTTATTTAGACTCAGAGGAGTCATATGGTTGTGTGGACTGAGCCTGAGTCAAACATAAGCTGCATTCATTTCTCACTGCCAAACTGCTATGCTGGACTCAACAGACTTGCAAAATTTAATCCAAGTCCTGAGGTCCCCTTCACCTAAAAGATTCACAGAGTTTGATGAATTAATCACTTTAAGTTTTTGTGCTTATCATCAAGCATTTACTCCATCAACACAGCTCAATTACAAACGCTACTGACTGATCTAAGAAACAACTGGGCCCACCAAAGAGACACAGGATTCCTTAAAGTAGGAAGATGGGGCTTTAAGTACCAGAGCCATCCCAAGTCTTTGAGCAAACTCTGAGCAAGGTTTGAGTTCAGCTAGTTCCAGAAAAAATGCATTCTGTTTCATTAAAACTGATGCAACAGCTATAAGGAAGCATTATTTGTGATACAAACCAGGAGTGAAAGTAAACCTGGGCATGAGATCTGATAATACACTCCACAGTTTTCCAGGTTGGTTCCTGCTACTTAATTCCAATATTCATGAGCTCAGTCCCATTTTACCAGTTTAAGAAAACCATAAAATCACCACTATTTTGTTGTGATACGTGTTTATTATATACAGGGCTGACTTCAGGGGCCTGCTACTGCACACAGGATCCCAATTTTAGGCAGGGGTCCCAGGCTTGGGTGTTCATGCTCTGCTACCACAGTCTTGAAATTTTTAACAATTTAACCTTTGACTCTGTGTAGTCCATTGTGGCAATGAACCGCATGCCCTGGCTCATACGCAGCCTTGCCTCCAAGGGACTTCCTGGGATAGGTTCTCAGCCACCTGCTCTCCCACCCAGTGATTATTACCGCCCTCTATTTGTTGTGGGGGCCTTGGCACATACTGGGGTGGATCAGGGTCATTTGGAAGAGCCATAGATACCTGTTAGGGTCTGCGGTCACTTTATAAGTACCTCTATACTCTAGAAATCTAAAATTAAAAAAGCAAATAAAAATAAGCTTTCGTAGGTCATGAGAGACTGTGTAAGAAAGTTACAGCTCCTTTCCCCTGCTTTTTGAACAAGAAGCCTCACATTTTCATTTTGCACTAGGCCCCCACAAATTACATAGCCAACCCTATATCTGAGTTTGTATCTACAAAGAATGAAATAACCTTATATTTTACATAAATTGAACTTATAATTTTATAACTTCTAGATAAAATAAATGTATATATAATGTTACTATATTTTATCTATAAAGATGAGAATAATAATTATAATAGTTTATAGATCAGGGAGAAGGCATTTCAATAGAGTATTATCTTCTGTGTTTTTTATGACTGATGAATTACCTTGAAAAATCTTTAACTAAGAATATATTATATGCTAAAAATGGGGATATTCTAGCTTTAGGCATTCTAGCAGGACACGACATTATTAAAATTTTCTTATTAAGGAAATCTACCTTACAACTTTGATTTACTGACAGGCGAGAGGTTTCTGGTCAGGAGCCAAAGTCGTCAAATATTAAGAGTATGAAGGTACATCAAATGTGTTGAAGGGTCCTCAAAATGCACCAAATAATTATAGTGCATTTCAATTATTCACACAAAGTACTTACATTGAACCATCTCAAAAATCTTAAATTCATACCCGAAAAGTCAGATGCTTTGTAACTAATAATTCTCAAAACATACCTACATGAATCTTGAATTATTCTATTTATAAAAATGCAGATGAACAAAATATTCCTATTACAACTTTCCTTTTGTTTATCTATTATTTAAGAAATCTTCATAATCAATATATAATTGACAATATATTCAATATTTTTCTCTTGGCTTATAATAAATGTTATCAGGACTTGAGGGGAACAATAGTTATAGACATTCCATAGATGGAGATATATATATTTCATATATATATATATGTATACATATAATGAAACACAATGGACCTTGAAACAAGTATTTTTTTCCCTAAACTTAGACATTTCCAATATTTCTGACTGATAGCTAAAATTCCAAACAAAAACTAGCCACTGTCACATTTGAAAAAGGTTAAGAGCTGCCAAAACTGCATGGGTGCCTGTAATCCCAGCACTTTGGGAGGCCAAGGTAGGAGGGTTGCTTCAGTCCAGGAGTTCGAGACCAGTCTTGGCATTATGGCAAAACTCCATCTCTACAAAAACTACAAAAATTAACCTGGCATGGTAGCACACCTGTAGTCCCAGCTACTTGAGAGTCTGACATAGATGGATCACGTGAGCCCAGGAGTTCAAGGCTGCCATTAGCTGTGATCACTCAACTACACTTGAGCCTGGGCAACACAGCAAGACACTGTTTCCATAAAACAACAACAACGACAAAACAAAACAACCGGCAATGGCTCTCTACACACCTTCAAACATAGCTCATGATCCCCGTAACGTCGCTTTCATTGAATAATGACTTCTAACTTCTAATGGCCTTTCATTATTCACCAAGTTAATTCTGAGCAATCTGCCCCTCTATCTTCTTTACATCTCTTAAATTGATGTGCAACTCTAATTTCCTTTCTCCAATCCTGATTCCCTTCTTCAGCTAATATTAAGATATTTCCACAAACAAAACAATCACCTGTAAATACCCCCGTGGTTCTGATTTCATACCTAGAAACAGGTTGTTCCCTGTAAATAAACAAGTGGAACTCACTCAGAAAACCAACCCATGTAAACACACATACTCATTTATAATTTATCCTATTTTGTACACGGAAAGTATCTCATTATATATTCAAAGTACAAGGGAAGAGGGGCTGGGGATAGGAAGGCAAACCAGTCACCTACATTGTTCATGTACTCCGAGAGCAGATCCTGAAGAGCCTGGCGAATGGCGTTGCATTCAGCGATAATCCGCTCCCGGTGGAAGTCCCTGGTGCATGAAGAGTCTGCCAGCAGAGCAGCCCCACTGATAATGGCTTCAAGCCGTTTCTCTAGTGATGGTCTTATTTCCTCCTCAGTCACTGTGAGTGGATTCAGGACAATTAAACTCTAAGGGAAAAACACATTTGTATGGTTAGAATTCCATGGCATTCCACTTTTATGAAAAACAAATGTTATTTTGTTTTCACGTTTAGAATTCAGATACAATAATAAAGAGAACTGTCTTTTTACTACCTCAACTGGTTCACACATAATTCTATGTAGTGATTATTATTCTGATAAATAATGAAAGTGATGCAATTATGAGAATTTGTTCTAGCCTCAGACCAACCTGGATTCAAATCTTACCTTTCTCCCTCATGCAGCTGTCTTACACTTGCTGAGCCTCAACCTCTTGATCTATAAAAGCAGAGTATTAATACTGCCTATGTCACTAGACTGTTGCAAGAATGATATAAATGCTTAATACACTGACTGTCACATGTTAACTGTTACTTACAACAGTAACTTTTATAGACTGAACTCTTTACACAATATTTTCATGTATCTCATCCTGACAACACCATGAAGAGGTGAACAGCAAGGTATTAATAACCATGCTTTCCAACTGATGATGAGTGAGGCTTGCCCAAGGTCAAACACCGTCTTGCCCAAGGTCATAGAGCAAGTAAATAGTGGTGTTTGGACAAGTATTTAGGTCTTTCAATACCCAATTTAATATTATTTTCGTTATGCCTCACTTCATATCATAAACTCTATTTAACTTTAACACTAACATATCAAAGTAAATTCTGAATTTGAATTATTTCACTTAAAATGCAAAACTGCTTCTTCCTGTTGATCTATTACTACTTCCAGCTATTTCCAGCTATTAGAACCTGACACGGTAATTTTAAGGTTTCAATTAGACATGTCTTTAGGTAATAGGAGTCAGGATAATCTACAAGCGCTCAAAAAAGATGAAGGGTATGCTGTTCTAAGGGTCTTTTATTAAAATACTCCAAGAGAGGAAGTCTTTCCAAGATTAGGCATAAGGTGAGAACTGAAGAAAGAGATAGTGTAGAATAAAAGCTCTCTGAGGAACCCTTAACATAAAATGAAATGACATAATGATTTTCAGAATATGAAAGACTGAGTGTGAATCTACACATAAACCCACAGTGAAGATATTATATCTTTATAGTATATAATCTTATGTATAAGATTATAGATATGTATATGTATTTTATATGGAGGTGTGTATGTATGTAAATAAGTATATGTATGTGTTTATATATAAAATCTTATACTTATCATTGTGTTACATTACATTCTGATAAATATTTGGGGATTGAAAGTAGACAGGATCCAATTTTAAAAGCCACAACTATAGAATCAAGCTAGGAAGAGAAAATTATTATAGAAAAAGAAATAATTTTAAAACGATTAAAAAATACTGTGTAATATTCTCTTACTTTAAAATATGAGGGGACTCCAAAAAGTTCATGGAAAAATGAAGTTAAAATATAAAAATAAAAACTATAAACTTTATTTCTCAACAAGGCTCTATTATTCAAGAAATTTTTGCAGGCCAGGATACCAGCTATTTAGTCCACCTCTAAAGAACTGTGGGTTGGCCGGGCATGGTGGCTCACGCCTGTAATCCCAGCACTTTGGGAGGCTGAGGTGGGTGGATCACGAGGTCAAGAAATCGAGACCATCCTGGTCAACATGGTGAAACCCTGTCTCTACTAAAAAATAAAAAAATTAGCTGGGCATGGTGGCGGATGCCTGTAATCCCAGCTACTCAGGAGGCTGAGGCAGGAGAATTGCCTGAACCCGGGAGGCGGAGGTTGCGGTGAGCCGAGATCATGCCATTGCACTCCAGCCTGGGTAACAAGAGCGAAATTCCGTCTCGGATTAAAAAAAAAAAAAAAAAAGAACTGAGGGTTATGGGAATTTATGTCTATATACTTTTTTTTTTTTTTTTTTTTTTTTGAGACGTAGTTTCACTCTTGTTACCCAGGCTAGAGTGCAATGGTGCGATCTCGGCTCACCACATCCTCTGCCTCCCGGGTTCAGGCAATTCTCCTGCCTCAGCTTCCTGAGTAGCTGGGATTACAGGCACGTGCCACCATGCCCAGCTAAGTCTATACACTTTTTTACATTATTAAGTGAAGAAAAATAGGTGTCCTTTACAATTTTTTTATGATTAGGAAACAAAAAGGAGTCAGAAGGAGCCAAATCGGGACTGTAACATAGATGCCTAAAGATTTCCCATGCAAACTCTTGCAAAATTGCCCTGTTTAATAAGAGCAATGAGCAGGAGTAGTATTGTGGTGGAGAAGGACTTTCTGGTGAAGCTTTCCTGGGTATTGTTCTGCTAAAGCTTTGGCCAACTTTCTTAAAACACTCTTATAATAAGTAGCTATCATTCTTTGGCCTTCCAGACAGTTAACAGAAAAAATGTCTTCAGAATCCTCAAACACTATTGCCATAACCTTTGCTCCTGACTGGCCCAATTTGGCTTTGACTCATTAATTCCACCTCTTGGTAGCCATTGCTTTTATTGTGCTTTGTCTTAGGGATCGTACTGGTAAAGCCATGTTCCATCTCCTTTTACAATTCTTTGGAGAAATGCTTCAGGATCTTGATGTCAATTGTTTAAAAAATTTCTATGGAAAGCTCTGATCTTACCTGTTGTTGATCCAGGAGCAACAATTTTGAGACTTACCAAGTGGAAAATTTGCTCAACTTAATTTTTTTAGTCAGAACTGTGTAAGCTAAACCAATTGAGATGTCTATGGTGTTGGCTATTGTTTCTGCTATTAATCATCAGTCCTTTTCAATTAAGACATGAACAAGATTAATTTTTTCCCTCACAAATCGATGTGGATGGTCTGCCTCCTTGAGTTTCATCTTTGACATCATCTCGTCCCTAACTAAAATGACTTAGCTACTTATAAGGCTGATTTCTGGGCATTGTCCCTATAAGCCTTTTATAAAGCATCAATGATTTCACCATTCTTCTACCCAATCTTCACCATAAATTTGATGTTTATTTCTGCTTCATTTTTCTCAGAATTCACATTGCTGATAGAAGTTCTTCAAACTGATATTTTATCTTTCTTAGTGCCTCAGCCTAAATCCCACTCAGACATGTTAAAAACAAGTTAGTATGAGTTTATTTTGGTGGAAAAATTGTTGAAATCATGTGTTTTCTTATAAAACACATTCTTCATGAACTTTTTGAAGGTCCCTTATACAATGTAAAATGTAAACTAGAATATAGATCTTATATAAAATTGGTTAAATATCTTAAAAGCAAGCAGAATTCTTCCTTTCCTAATGCTTTTCTTCCTATTTTTCTATTCCTCTATTGAGTCTCTTCACTTTTGTTTTACATGGTCAAAATAATTTTTTTAAAAAACATGAAAGGAAATTAATTGTACAAAAAGCAAATTTAACTTTTTTTCCTTTACCCAGTACATATTATTTTTTGATGAAACCCAAACTGCTACCATGGGCGTGGCCATCAGTTAAAGCTTCATTTATCTAAGTCTTCCTCCTTATTTCATTTGCCACTTTAACCACATATTTCCTTGGCTCACTCATTTAGTACAAACTTTCCACTTCAATGTTTCATAACAAAAATTAAATCATTTAAAACCTTTTTGGAAATGTACCTCCAATGTGGCATTATTAAGAAAAGGCTATGCAGGCAATAGAATTACTCGTTAATTGCTTTAATGCAATTAGAAGATGTGATAAAAACAGGGAATATGCTCCTGCATTGTGATGACAGGAAAAACTGATTACATTTCAGATCTGTTCCTTGTAAGTACTGCAAGAAAAAACTGCTGTGATTTTAGGTGTTCTGGCTGTGATTGCATGTTAGCAAATAGCCTGTATTGTAGAATTAGGTTGAATATAGTTTCTGTTCCACAGGGTCATTGCTCAAACCATCTCAGTATTTGGAATTTTACATGCTTGACTTTCAAGACATCCAATTCTTCAAGCTCATCTGAACTTAAACCATTGTCTATTCTGACATCAGATGCCTACAGACAGGGCTCTTGATTTTGCCTAAAACGATTGTCCTACTATTCCATCCTATAAAAGTTTTCACTAACTTTGTCAAAAAATCAATATAAAAAGGAAAGAATTTTTTTAAAGTAAATTGAATATCCTGTGAAAAGGCACTGGATTTCTTTAAGACCAACTGAAAGAAATTTTTACATCCTCTGATTTACCATAGCTATGTTAAAATATTATTTCAGTAAATTTTCATGGCACAAATTCCGTGGAAGACAAACAATAGGATGCTGTTTTTTAGGATGTCGTTCCATTGGAATAGAAATTATTTTTTTCTTTTTTAAAGTTCCATTCAATGTACATTTACCACTTTAATACTTTGGTGACAGAACATTATTTTTTAAAATGTAAGAGTCCCAACTCCATATTCTTCTATTAGATTGCTTTGTTTAAAAGAGTAAGTAGGCAAATCCAAGATGGCCAAATAGGCATAGCTCTGGAGTGCAGTTCCCAGCCAAAACAACGCAGAGAGTGACAGATCACCGCATTTCCAAACGAGTTTTCACTGCCCACAGACCAGGAAATTCCCAGGCTAAAAGCACCACAAATTTCCAGCATGGATATTTCAGCTGGTGCCATGGGTTGGCACACAGAAACTCAAACAAGTCTAGGCGGCCATTTTAACTGGTGCCTGGAATGACTGGGACATAGAGCCACCCATTAAACTGAAAGGGTGGGGCTGAAACAGGGAGCCAGGTGATCTGGCTTAGAGGACACCACCCCCACAAAACAAGCAATCTGAAACGCTGTGGATTGAGAGTATTGTAGCAAGCACAGCTGGACCCAGAATGATCCAGCTCCATGAGGGGAAGGGCATCTGCCACTACCAAAACCCAGGCAGTCCTAACTGTACCTCTATAAACAACACCTCAAGGAAGTTCACATAGCAGCTGGACAGAGCCTCCAGCACCTCAGCAACACCTCAGCTGGCAGCCTGTGACTACACTAGTTCCATGCTGGGCAAAACATCTGTGAAAAAAGGCAGCAGCATGTCAGGAAGTTATAAAGAAAGCCTGACATTCATAGGACAGAGC